GGCAGGGAGGCAGGGGAAGAAGGGGAGAAGGCAGAGACCCCAGGCCGTGTAATCAGCAGCAAGGTGATTGTGTGATGTGTCTTTTCACAGTTGAGTTAGATGTGCCCCACCAGTTATGATGGGAACCCATTTAAATATACTTTCTTGATCCCAAAAGTTCAACTATGTGGACAGTGGTTACACTTGACAGGATGATTTGTTATAGCACAACATATATTTTAAGTGGACAAAAAAAATTAGTATCGTTTACAGTATCTTAAGATAAATTGCCTTTGAATGGGAGCTTCCTTTCCAGTACTTTGAGGTCTACAAGACGTATCTAGAAAATTTACTACTGTGGAAAATGAAGACTGCTTAAATCGAATGGGAGGGAGTAGGGGGAGGGCCTGTGGTTTTTCTTTTTGATTAATTGCTGTAACACTGTCCTTCAGGCGGCTGAGGGAGTTTCATGTTTTCTTTAGACATCATTAGGCGCCGGGGCTCTTGCAGGACGACTTTGATGCTATATGAATTCTGCCATTTTGCTAGCACTGATATGGCTCTTGGGTCCACCAGTCCATTAGAACTATTAACTCCATTCAGATTAATTTTTGTTACAAATCTTACAAAGGGGGGTGCTTCTGGGTATTTAGGTCCACATTCTATTTTAAGGCTGTATATTCGGTTTTCATAAATTGTTCTTGGAGGCCCAATTATCATCCCTGTCCTTCTTGTAAGTGTCATGTCTTCATCATCTTCTAGACCCCAGCTAACTGTGCCATCTCCTACTCCTTTCTGGCCTTCTTCCAGTTCTTCCAATGGTCGAAAATTGCGAGGGACTTTTACTCCCGAGCCCGTGGTGGCTGCCATCTTGCGTCGCTGTCGCTCCTACTTTTTTTTTTTAAGATTTGTTTATTTTTGAGTGAGAGAGAAAATGCAAGCGGGGGAGGGGCAGAGAGAGAGAGGGAGACACAGAATCCAAAACATTTTACCTACTCATATCCCCACCTCTTAACCCAGATCAAAGGTTTAGAGGAGCCGGGTCGCCTGGGTGGCTCAGTTGGCTAAGCACCCGACTTTTGATTTAGGCTCAGGTCATGATCTCACTGTTCATGAGATCAAGCCCCATGAGATCGAGATGACCCTCTTCGCTGTCAGTGTGGATCCTGCTTAAGATTCTCTCTACTCCTCTGCAGCTCGTGTGCACACACTCTCTCTCTCTAAAAATAAATAGGGGCGCCTGGGTGGCTCAGTCGGTTAAGTGTCCAACTTCAACTCAGGTCATGATCTCATAGCTCTTGAGTTCGAGTCCCACACAGAGCCTGGAGCCTGCTTCAGATTCTGTGTCTCCCTCTCCCTCTGCTCCTCCCCTGCTCGTGCTTTGTCTCTCTCTCTCTCACAAAAATAAACAAACATTTAAAAAAAATCAAATAAATACACATTTAAAAAAAAAAAGTTTGTGCCTGGCTGGGTCAGTTGGTAGGACATGTGACCCTCGATGTCAGGGTCATGAATTCAAGCCCTCCATTGGTTGTAGAGATTACTTAAATTAAGTAAGTAAGTAAATAAATAAATCTTTACCAAAAAAAAGTTTAGAAACTGCAGTTTTATTCCTCATTTTCCCATCCATTCTCAGGCTCAACTCCTCTTATGTGCATATTTTTTAAGTAGGCTCCCTGTGGTGTGGAACTTGAACTCATGACCCTGCGATCAATATCTGAACTGAAATCAGGAGTTGGACACTTAACCAACCAGCCACCCAAGGCACTCCTTAAGAGTATCTACTTTTTTTTTTTTGAGAGAGAGGCGCAAGTTAGCCAGGG